AGAGATATTTAGTTTGTATTTTTCATAGTCCATGTCTGCAGTACATGACGGTGACCCCTCATCACGGGGTTGGTACGTGTACACGGTCCAGAGTCATTCTTTGCAAGTCCGTGTGCAGCGCAGAAGCCAGGGGTCCTTACTCCTGTCCACCAAGCTCTCTACCACCACCGCACTCCCCAGGCTTTTTCTTTTTTGACCAAAATCCATTTCTCCCTAGATCTTCCATCTGCACTGGGGAGCTAAGGAAGTTGAACACCTGTAGGTGTTTCCCGGCTTCGCAGTGCTCGCCACACCTGCTTTTTTCTCTTGAGGGAGGGCCTGGTCCCTGGTCCCCGCCCCTCACGCCCCCCGCTGGGTCCCGGCGGCGCGCGGCTCTGCGGCCTGCAGGGGGCGCTGTGCGCGCCCTCGGACGCCGCCTCCCGCAGTTCCTTCCGAAGGGCCGGCGGGGCACGTGGCTCGGGACGCAGCTCGCGGCCACCCAGGAGTCCCAGGCTGGGCGGCGCCGCCCCTCCGCCCGCGCGGACCCCGGACACGGAGCACCGAAACCGTGAGGACGCGGCCGCCGCGCGAGGCCAGGCCTGCCGGGTAAGCACCGCTGGGGCGCTGATCGCGGGGCCCGGCCCTCGCGGCCCTGCGGGGCGCCGCGGCCCGGGCAGCCCTAGAGCCTAGGCCGCGAGGCCGCGGGGCGGAAGGGCGGCGCGCTCGCCGTCCGGGGGAGTCGAGCTGGGGCAGGCCAGGACCCCGCCGCGAGATCCCCAGCGATCCTTAACGGGCTGCTTACCTAAGGGGGCAAATGGCAAGTGTTGCGTGCAACAACCCCTTCACTCTCTTTTAGAAATTACTTTAGCCGTTTTACTTGATTTTTTTTGAGACCGGATCTCGCTGTATAGTTCAGGCTGGCCTCAAACACTCCTGCCTCAGCCTCCCGAGTGCTGGGATTACAGCTGTGAGCCACCTCGTCCAGCTTCCTGGGTGCTTTTTAAAGGGAACAAAATCTCCGTTAGGGTTAGAGTTTGCTCTGTTGTCCTTCCGCATTCCCAGAGTGCAAAGGAGAGCACAGGGCTGGGCTTCTGCGGGTTTCAGGCCCAGGCAGGAGGAAAAGGACAGACTTTCCCGGTCCTGTCCAGGTGACATCCTCAGCCGCCCTGCCTTGGCTTGCTTCTGCCGTACCTGCGGGACATTCCGACCTGCTTGCTTCTTGACCCCTCTCAGTATTGAGCTCCCTCACACCACAGATGTACTGGCCCCGACTCCTGTTGTGCAGCCTCTCCAGCTGGGACTCCAGGTCCTGCCAGTTATCTGCTCATAGCCTGTGCTCCGCCCGCAAATCCCAAATCACCTCTACGGGATACAGTGGAAACGCCACGTGTAGGGTGAGCTGTGCTGTTGAACAAAAAAGTATGCACGTGTTCAGACAAGTGTTTTATCTTCCCAAGTATTTTTGTCTGGGGTTGGTTGAATCCTAGGAAGTAGAACCTCTTTTTTCCTTTTCTTTTTTTTTTTTAAGGTTTTTTTTT